TGGGTGAGGTATGCGAGGAATCAGCATGAGCGATAACGTGTCCACGAGCGCGTCTCATCTCACGTCGAGGCCAAAGTCTTCAGGATAGACTTGACACGGCGCGCAATGTGTAGGATCTTATACGCTTTTTGTTAGGTCAAAGGTACATGCTCTCCTTGCCTGTCTACCGGCTGAACGACACTCATGTAGATTTGCCGTAGGATACAGGAGTGCAGAATTAGCTTATCGATTCGAGGTCGTTAAGCACTCGCATGACATGGTACCCTCCTCCCTCTTCCCATTCATTTCCAACCGCTCACCTACTTAACTACCAGTTCAAACCCCAATACCGCTTCTCCGAAGGCTGCTGAAATGCGTGTCCTACAACGCACAATTTAGAGTTTTTCCAACCGTTCCAAAACAATATGCACCCCTCCTGGCCTCAAGACGACGTATCGTCCTCCGCAAAACAGTCCGACGCCACCCTCCAGCTTCCCGAACCCTTCCTCCTCGCCATCGGTCTCCCATGCAACAAGACGAAGTATTTTCATCCGCTAAACGCGCTCCCTACGTGGTGGCAAGTGTTCAGACCCTTCCACAACGTCATGCACCCCTCTTGTCAAGACGACGTATTGCCAAACGGTCCCACGTCACCCTCCTACTTCCAAAACCTTTCCACCATGCCACGACGTCGAGACGACGTATCGCCGTCCGCTAAACACCCTCCCTGAGTGGTAGCAAGTGTTTCTGACCCTTCCACAACATCCTGAACCCCTCCTGGCCCCAAAACAACGTATCGAGTTCCGCAAAACGGTCCCACATCACCCTCCTGCTTCCAGAATCATTCCACCTCGCCATGGCGTCGAGACGACGTATCGTCGTCCGCCAAACACCCTCTCGACGCGTGGGTCGCCTTTGGATGCTGGATGGGATGGGTTGCAATTGAGAACCTGCAAAAGGCAAAGATAAAAAGGTTTTTCAGTATTTCAACACCATACACACGAAAAAAAACTCACCTGTTTCATTTAGAGTCATCCCAGCCCCGTTTTGCGTTGACACAATGTATCCAAGTCCGCCAATCGCTATCGGGGCACGACGTGGTGCTCCCGGGACTCGGTTGTGTTTTCCGTTAATGACGAACGACTACGCGCGGCGGCGCCAACAGTTAATGAAGATACGGCAAAGGGTTCGACATACCTTTGTTATTCAATTTTTTCTTCGCTTCGCCACGTCACCGCCTCCCATCCAGCTCTCCAAGGCTCGCCACGACGTATCGACGTCCACCCAACGCGTTTGGGACGTTGTTGACGTTCTTGAAATCAGTCGCATGTTGTAGCTTTTGGGTAAAGGTAAGTTGTATGCTGCTTTGAGTTATGAGGTGATTACTTACTTCTTTTAAGGTCGTTTATGTGCGTTACCAGCTCCCGAAGGTTCCCCGGCCTTTGCAACGTCACCAAGTATGCCCTAGCCGCCCTCAACGCAAGTCCGTCTTCGAGTTGCGGCGTGTTTACTGTCAGTCTTCCAAGTAAGTCGTTAGTTTCCATTGTTATGCAAGTTCATGGACTTACATTTCACCTTTAGCCGCTTCAACACGTTACCGCCTTCAATCCACCTTTCCAATGCTCAACACGACGTATCGACGTCCGCCGAACGCGTTGGGACGTCGTTGACCTTGTTGAAATCAGTTGCATGCTGTAGCTTTCGGATAAAGGTGAATTTCACGTTTGATTGCGTCATAAGGCGATTGCTTACATGTTTGAAGGTCGTTTACGTCCGTTACCAGCTCCCAAAGGTTCCCCGGCCTTTGCAACGTCACCAACTACATCAACTACGCCCTGATCACCTTCAACGCAAGTTTCATCGAGCCGTACTGTTGATCTTCGAGTCGTCGTCCGCCCAACACCCTCTCTACATGCTGGCAAGTTTTTTCGACTGTTCCACAGTGTCTTGCATCCCTCCTGGCCCCAAGACGACATTTTGTCTTCTGCAGAATGGCCCCATGCCACCCTCTATCTTCCGGAACTCTTCCACCTTTCTATGGCTCTCTGAGGCTTCGAGACGACGTATCGCCGTCCACGAAACGCCCTCTCTATGCATGGGATGGCAATGGTAGGCGCTGAGACCTTCGGAAAGACAAGAAAAAAAAGGTTTGGTAGGTGTTTCAAGACCCGAAGGATGAAGAGGTCCTTACCAAGTAAAGCAGAGGATAGAACTGCTCCATCTCCGACGGCGAGACGTCGAAGAAGCTCTCGTAGAGCCTCAGCTAGTGTTGACACTGCGAACGCACAAATTTCTGACTCGGAGCCTGTCACGACTTCACCGAACACGCCACTTGTCCCACAAACTCCGCTGCCTCTCCCACTCGACGCATTTGCAAACCTTCATGCTCAGTCGGCTACCCCAAACAAGCCAGCCATTCACACAATCAAAGCAATGAACGTGCTGTGGATCCACCACCATCATTGCCTCAAACCGAGCGCGAAACTGAGCCCCCTGAACTCGATGTCGAAGGGTGTTAGTGGAAGAGGAGGATGTTGAAGACCGGATTCCCTCCCTACCACTACCCGTGAACAATTCCTTGCCAGGCACCCCTCCTCAATGGTATTCTCCTCATATCGCTTCGCTACGGACCCCTCAATTTTCAAATCCTCCTTCAAACGGATCATCGTAGAAGCGAGGAACGCGCAGATGCATGATCAGGACTCAACACCCTCCCTCCGTTTCTTCCTCAATTCCTACAGTCATGCTCTTTGAGCCCTTGGGGACTGCAACTGTGAGTGCTTGCATGGCTGGCGGCATGCAGACTGTAGTTGGCTCACATCAACGGCCGCTTATCCGATCCTGCTTTGTGGCCCGGAGTTCCAGCCTCGTTGATTTCATGCAGCACATATGATGCCCGAGTGTCCGACGCAACCGGTGTTAATTTTAAATCGGCACGAGTGTCAATATTTATTACCTCTCCCAGATTCAACCTGTCCACAGTATTGGTAAGGTCTTTTAACCTGAACAATCTGTTGGTAGGTGCGAGTTTCCAATCAACGCAACTAACTAAAAAAACAGATCTTTCTATCCATTTGAAAGAGCGGGGTTAGAGTGACATGCAGAACAATGTAGTACGTCTTGTTTATTTCTGTCCCTGCTCATCGTTGCTTCAGATTTACGTAGTACCATGCTTGGCACGCTATTACATGGCAGTGCATTTAATACACTCACCGGCCATGCAAGTCAACGGTGAATAACTCGAAAATACCGACGCCTTGCTGCAAATTACGTCAAGATATCAATAAATATCAAACCTCGCTCAAATTTCAAACTTCCCCGTTGACGACTCAAGCTCACCTTCACACTTACGCCGCTGACGGACTCCTTTCGGTATGCCTCGCCGCCAACTCCAACCTCCCAGCTCCAGTGGCGAAGAGTTTGATGCTCCATCCAGCGGATCGTCGAGTTCGGATGAGTCTGACCCCGAGAATGATCTCCTTTCTCGCGGTGGAACGGCACACCTCTTGACTATCAGCTCAAATCCAACAAGAGAAGAGTATGACGAGGTTCGTACTCTCTTTGTATCCAAAGTTCTACGTTCACTGGAAAGTTTAGGCTTTAAAAAAAGCACAGTTATTGTGTGGCAAGCGCGATAAGGAGGTTCGTCAACTTCGTGAAGAGTTGGCGACGATCAAAGTCAACCAGCCGAAGCGCTCGCGACGTAGTCAAGGCAACAGTGGGTATCCTCAAGTTATTGCAAAGCACGAAGAGGAGATCGCGTCAATTGGTCGAATGTTCAGCCTTACCTGCGAACTGTTCCTTCCGGACAACTACAATACAGTCATTACTAACAGTTCTCGTCCCCAACAGAGTCTCGTCAACAGCCCCCAGAGATACGTTACAAAGGCGGCTGAGGAAGCTGGCGTCTTATCGGAAATATATGAGACGGTTCCCGAACGCTTTCACGGTTTGATGAGGGAGCACAGTCAATTCGGCGTCTTAGTGAGTTTTACAAGTCTTTTACTTCACGCAACAATTCTGACGATATTTGTAGTTTTGCAATAAACACCGTAAGGTTCGCTCAACGTTTCTCAAAGAGCTTCGCGACAAGATCATTCCGAAGATATTTGGTGCCGAACTTCGTGATGTTGCGAATCAAATCGGTGCTAGTCACGCTGCCAAGCGGGCAAGCAACAATGACTTCCAGGAGCTTCTGCGTTGGGACATGGCACGGAATAAGTACCCCAAGTTCGCTCCTGTTTTATATGCTGCCCGAGAGTCGGACGGACGCCGTATCGATGATCGAACGAAAGTTTTCATGAACCCACAGCTTGTTTTGGTAAGCCTTCAATTACATCGTTGTACGCTGGATCGCTCACTCGCTATCAGGCTCTCAAAGGTTTATTGACTGGTGCTGCATCAATTACAAAGGTCGGCAAATACGCAAAGCCGAAAACGCGTGCCACCTTGTGGGGGCTTCTTGGTGTGACGCCTGGTTCTATTGCCGGCATCGCCATTCTGGTACGTTTTAAACTGCTTGCGAACTACGTAACTTTTTAATTGGTTTCTTCCTTTCAATAAGGTTTGTTTCATCTTCTCTCCTGATCCTGAGCTTTCCGCTGGGAAGGGAGCTGTGACTGGTATCGACTACGGGAAAGATTTTACCTTGTACAAGATGTTTATCATCCAGAAACTCAACACTCCATATGGGAAAGTGCTATTCGACCTCTACAATCAAATTATCTTCGGATCGGCTACAGTGAATACGATCGCGAATGATCCGGGAGATGGGGACGAAAGCAGTGGCATCGAGGATGCAACCAATCAATTCCACACACTCTCCCTTGCCCCTGCTGAACTTGCTACTCACGGAAATATCGAACAAGTCGCCCTCGACACTCTTCCCACCAGTTCTAATGCCGAACAAAGAATCATCAGCGCCGGACCATCGCAGGAGCACAGCCCTAGCAATCCGGTGTCTGTCGCACAGGAACAGCCGCTTTCAACAACACGTCATGCAGCTCCATCTACGTTGGTCACGCCAGAAGCCAGGGTTGTAGAGAAGTCAAAAAAAGGGAAGGCGAGGGAGAAGGGAACTGTTCAGGACACAGCGGCGGAGGTTGTTGAGGCTGTACCAGGTACTCGCAAGCCTCGCAAACCACGCGCGCGCAAAACTTAGTCACCACTGTCTGTAGTTATGGATGCCTTCAATCTCGTTTGTTCACTGTTATGTTCATCATGCACATGTAAGGTGTGAAGTGCATCGGTGTGCTTTAAGTTTAAGGAGCTCTATATACTGCTTGAGAACCAATTGCTCATTATGTTAACCCAATTTATATACTAAATATATGACCCGCTGGCATAGCGGTAACTATCGATCACTAACCAAAGGTAAGTAAGACCATAAGCTAAAGAGTTCGAATCCCGGCTAATGCAATATAGAATAAATAGAACTACTAAGTAGAATAGAATAGAATAGAGAATAGACACAAGTAAGTACAATACAATAGATAGAAAACAATACTACAAAGTCGAATAGAATTAAATAGAATACCCTACGACCACTAAGTACAATACAATACAATACAATACAATAGACGACAACGTTGAATAGAATTAGGGACTACAAAATATATAGTAGACTACAAAAAACTAGACTACAACTTTCTCATCGCTTCACGCTTACAATACGGTTGTGATCATAGTACACGTTGTTGAAATTTGGTTAGGACTTGGTTGAAACGATGGTTTGAACATGGTTTCAATCAACCACTCTTCGGTTGTAACCGGTCCGAACGGCCACCAGTGATTGCATCGGTTGGAAGCGGCAGTAACCGGCTGTAACCAATATTAGAAAACTCCGACATACTGTCCCCCCAAGGTCATATATCACTTTTATTTCAGCCGAAGCGTTAGAGACCGCTCTAGACTGGCTGCCAAACCCAACCAAGCAAATCCGACGTACTGGCCCCCAAGGTCATATATCACTTTTTATTTCAGCCAAAGCGTTAGAGACCGCTCTAGACCGCTGCCAAACCCAACAGCGAAAATTTGTCATCCCCAGTTCAGAGATTTCCAGGAGATTTCTTACTCAATCTACTGTCTTCAACTTATACAATTCTACTTACTAGTAACAATACTGACCAAAAGATGTTAGATTCCCACTACATAAGTAGTGGGTCACACTTTTTGTAATTTCATGGCTGCAAGGAGTGAACCGCGCAAGCGGTTCGGCGACGAGCAGCCAATAAAAGGTCACAAACTTACTCTCATTTTTAATCACCATAGCTGGCTTCAAAGCGCCCACAGGGGTGCTACAGTGATTATCATTTTTTATTCTGCATGAAATATAAGCAAGGTTTTTGTTGACATTGGAACAATGTCAAACTCTAGTCAGGAAGTGAGCATGAAATTTGAAATGATGATTTACAAGTGTGAGGACATTTCGATGACGAAGCAAAAGGGACTCCGAAGTTGAGAATCTACTTGGTTGATGTATCATGTCCCGATTCACCTGATATCGAAATATTTACCCATCCATTTACAGATGTACGTAGACGTGTATTTATGTAATGTAAAATATCTTTCTAAAATGCCTTTCCATTCCGCAGCGTCCAGCGCATCTCTATGTTAGTTGTCCTTTCCCTCCTCAACCGACAAGGTATCAGGGTCCAGCCCAAAATCCTCGGCACCCTCCCAAGAGCCCCACGCAGCAAAGTCATTGGATAGTTGGCGGTGCTCCACGACCATCGTGGTCTTTCGCAGAGGTCCGACTGGGGAACTGTCGTAGATTTTGTGCAAGGTTTCTTCAATGGAGGTTGACGTTATAAGGAGGAGTTTTCCGCGGGTTGGATGTAGAATTTGACGTAGGGTTTGAGCGATTTTGATATTTGTTACCTGGGTTGGGTGACATCAAGTCAGTATGCATGGATGGAGAAAGGGATGAAGAAATTTACGTCGTTCAGAAATGGTGGGTCTACGACGGCCAAGTTTACTTTGCCCCTCAACGCTTCAGGAAAGACGTCTGGCTCGTCGAGGTCATATGGGGTATACTGCTTAGGTGAGACGACCGCAAAGCGTTGATCGTACTCCAAGAGATGGGCGCCTGGGAGAAAGTTTAGATGTTGGTATGCGACGAAGCCTGTTGGGCAGCAGAGGAATGCTATGGTTGTTTTCGGGGTGCAGAGGGTATGAAGGGCGCGAGCGAGGTGGTTGGCGAAGGGTTCTGTGTACCTAGAGAGTTAGTGGAGGATGAAAAGGAGAGGGCTTGAGGCTTGCCCGTCTTTTCAAGCTCGAAAGAAATGGGTTGAAAGTTAGATAGAAGATGTCGTCCTGACAATTAAGAGTTTACTGTGTCCAGTGTGTGTGGTACACCCCTGGTCCCGATTCCATCCCGTGGTCCATCGTTCATTCCATCTTTCATGCTAGTCTCTCCTAGACAGACTTCGATACATGTGAAGTCGTACCTTGGTTCACGATGTATGAAGTCTGTTTGTTACCACATCAGCAAAAACCCTGGGAACTGGTAGACATTGTAAGCCGGTGAAATCTGAGGGAGACGTTACAATATGTAACACGCGTTACAACGCGTCTACAATCTGTTCACCATAGCCGAAATGGCTTGTAGATGTTGCAACTATGTCACCCGCGCCTTACCATTCCTTGCTACTTTACGGGACTTAAGCGTTTTTTCAACATGTCAGAGTCACGGGAAGGATCGGATCCAACCAACACGGTGGCACCGCCTTTTCCCATTCCACCTCGCTCAAACCTCAACCACCCAGCCTCGAAACGTCTCACTGTACGACGGCGCTCAACGGAGCTACTGTCTCTCTAGGCCCAGCTTCCTCTCGGGATTGCGCCGCCTCCTCGCCATCTCGTCAGCCCTCCGCCTTTCCCATCGATGTTGAACGTCCGAATTCGGAAAATTTTGGACCTGTGAACTTTCCAACTTACCGCTCTCCCCTCCCCCCCCCTGCCCAATGTCTTCATGATTGGGTATGTGCTTGGCCAGCACAAACTTACTCATGATGACATTGGCATCGACACATTGCATACTATGGCAGAATCTTTACACCAAAACCGCAACAAATTCGTCAACTCCAGAAGCCCATCTGTGGCACAATGCAGTCAGAAGACCCTGGCCGCCCGACGACGCATGCCAAGTATACGGTGGGTGGTAAGTATTGGAGAATGTGACATGACCTTTGGATGACGACGAAGGAAGGTGACGTCGGGGGAGTGCCGGGCGTGGGGGTATTTGGAGCTGGTGACGTGGGGCCTCCATGTCGATGTGAAGGAAGTTGTCCATGGGCGATAGGATGGGTAACGCAATTTCAAGGTACGTGGATTCACTCCATTTCCGTAGTTTTCTGACAACGCAAGTTCAGACCATCGACTGATACTCGCAAAATACTGGTATTCAGTTGCAATTGCTCTGAACGTCACGAGGTGACCCTCCCGCTCCACTTCTTTATGAACGTGTTCTCAAGATCCCCTACTCCAGTGGTTGTATCGGTCGCTTTCAATGTGCGTTGTTGATTTACTCTGATACAATCCTTTACTTAACTACGTTATCCAAGAAACGTTTTGATTCTACGAGAGATGAGGGAGATGACACCGTCTTTGGCAGCACAAATGTGGGCGCACTGCGCAGGCAGCTAAAGATCATGAGAAGTGTAGGCTATTTAGTACCGTGCAGGCTGCAACCATATTTAGATGATCTTCCTGTATGCATATCCCA